AAAACAAAAAGGGAAGACTGAGCTTCTGGCACTGCTGCTCAACTCAAACATGACAGCCTTAAGAATAAAGCAGTGGATTTTAACAAACAGCTACTATTAAAGGATGGTTTGTTTTGGGGTTCTTTTTGTTCGTGCTTTTTTTAAAGTTCCTTCTCCTCAGTACATTTTAACTGATTTTTCAAAGTTCAGTTTGAAACTAATCACTGTATACAAGAAAATTGCCTGGTATGAGTTAACAGTTCTGTAGATGGTTACTTGCTAGCAATTGTAATAATCCCATGAACGACTTGAGGGGTGAGTCAGCAAAGATCACATGAGCCACAACAGCCAGCAGCAAGAGAATAATTCATTTCCCACAAGGAAAGATACCACACTTCAGAACTTGTGACCTATTCCTTGTCACTCAATTAATAATGATTTCACAGATCATCATAATCCTGTTGCATTCCTAAACCAAGCATTTGATGCTACCTGAAACATCTGTAACAATATAATTCTCTTCAGGGAAAAAAAATAAATAAATTCAAAACTAGTAGAGACAGAGTGAAATGCCTTTCAGTGGTGTTTTAGGTTTTTTTCCCTGAATAGCACACACTAATAAAAACCAGATAAATGCCAGAATATCAAAAAGGTATTTATTTGTCTTGGTTTCTTTTAATTCTGAAGAGCATGGTCTTACTCTATTGATATTAAATCTCACTGATCTATAATTAGCCATAACACAAAATAGACAAGAATTTGTTAAAGAAACAAGATAGAATTTCATTTAGTTAAATAATAATGTTTATTGTTTTCATCTGTATCAGCCACAATCCAGATAACAAACGTAGGAGGATAAAAGCAGGGAGACTCCTCAGGAAGGAATTCGGTGAGAGGGAACTACTGGAGAGAGTCTGGCGGAGGGCAACGAAGATCATCGAGGGGCTGAGGCATCTCTCTTACAAGGAAAGGTTGAGAGACCTGCGGCTATTTAGCCTGCAGAAAGCTGAGAGGAGACCTTATCAATGTTTATAACTATCTGAAAGGTGAGTGCAGGGAGGATGGAGCCAGACTCTTTTCAGCAGTGCCCAATGACAGGGCAAGAAACAAGGGGAACAAGCTGGAACTCAGAAAGTTTCACCTACATATAAGAAGGAACTTCTTTACTGTGAGAGTGACAGAGCACTGGAACAGGCTGCCCAGGGAGGTCGTGGAGTCTCTGTCTTTGGAGATTTTCAAAACCCACCTGGTTCAATTCTGTGTGACGTGCTCTAGATGATCCTGCTTTAGCAGGGAGGTTGGACTGGATGATCTCTAGAGATCCCTTCCAGCTCTGACAATTCTGTGTGATTCTGTGACACAAGCTGGATAATACCAGGAAAGGAGGAGCTGGGCAAACCTTCTCTTTGCAAAATTTATGCCTGCACAGTGTATACTGAGGAAAAAGACACCTGTTCATTAAAAACATACATTTTGCACCTATCCCATCTGTGTAACATTCTATGTTACCTCTAAGGTCTGAAATCTGGAAAAAATCATACGTCTATTTTGCACAAAACTCTCACTGGGCATGACAAATGACTGACCTCCCTTACATTAATTCACCGTCAATGTAAAGTATTTAATCTTTGGCAAAACATTAATTGCAAAGAGGGCTAAGAGTAACCGTGCACAGGGTGATTATGTCTGAAAGTGAATGGCAAAGTTGTCAAGTCTTGGCTATCTGAGAACAAGGAAAACACGGTCATGATGGGGGAAGCAACACCCTCTCCCTAGAGTAAGGGTAACTTACATCACACCTTCATTACTACACCTTTCTAGTATTAACGACTCACTGTCATTCATGTTCCACAGCCTAACTTTTCAATTGCACAAAACTGAATTTACATCTCAGCTGAATCACATGCAACTGGAGCCAATATCCATGTTCTAAGATCGGTCAGGGTGGCCCGAGTACATACTAGGGCCCTTGCGTTGCCGCAGATCACACGCTGCCACATGAATTTCAAAACGGAGGGAGAGACAACACTGGGAATTGTTGCTAGCTGGTTTATCTTTTAATGAGACAAGCTGGTAAAGCTGAGGAGCACTGTTTCCCAAACCCTATTTGCTGACTATCTGAAAAAAAAAGCTTTTTATAGCATGAATGCTTTAAGGCTCACAGATTTGAAGAAAAAAAAAAAGCTGCAGATGATTTGAGGAACAAGACAGTGTGCTTATTCAAGAAAATCAAAAGAGCAGCATGCAACTCATGCATAAACTGTCTGATTCTAAACTGGGCATGTTATATCTGAAAGTGGCTATGTAGATAAAGCTGGGTAACTTGCAGCAATATGGAAAGATTACCTGAAATGCATTACACAGCCACAAAGAGACAAACAGATTTTTTTTTTTCCAAAAAACAGCCACACTTCTACGGAAGAGTTAAACATTTGGAAATAAAAAGTAAGAAACCAGAAAAATCTGAAATAAAAACCAGCAACTAAAAGAAAACAACAAAAAACCAAATCACTGGATTATAGAATAGATGGATTAAAATAAATATGAAGAAACCCATCGTGCTTTTGTTTATATTGAGTAAGTCACGGAGCTTAACTAAACCAACTTCTCACGTGTTTTGTGTAATGGGCTTATTGGAATAAATAAGTTGTAAAAAGAGGGCATCTAAAAAGGCACTGGTTACCCAAAATACAAATAAAACTGAATGCTGTCGTTAGAGCTCATTATGTTCCGTCTAGTTATTGAACAAGGACCTTCAACTCTAGTATTGACTAAAAAAAAGTTCATGGAGTTAACAGCTCAGTTCCAAACACTTACTACTGGTAAGAAAGAAACCCGAAACATTTACGTTTCAATTTTGAAAAAAGTTGAAACTGTTTTTTAACAGAAATAATCACATCCTGACAGAAGAAGCCTTAATCAGAGTGTGAATTTTCAACACTAAGGTGGATGAGGGTGGATTTCCAGCACAAAGCTTGTAATAGAAGTGTATTCTAAAATCTGTAGAACGGAGATCCTGTATTAGGCCTCTGTGTATACGGTGGTTTTGTATAAAACTTATCAAGTCAGAGTATCAGTGCAGACAGAAGTAAAATTTCCCAGTGGCCTGCAGAGTCATAGATGTTCTTTTAAAAAAAAAAGGAGGCGAAGGCAGAAGGAGGCACAGAGAGCAGGATTCATCTACACAAAGCTGTCTTTGATGATAAGCAAACATCTAACTTGTTAGGGCACGTTAAAGATACAGATAAATTCTAGGTCACTGCTCTTGGGAGATCAAAAATTGAGCCTTACCCTATAAAAGCACACAGTATCATTCAAGCTCTGTTAGACTTGAATTTGATTCCTGTCAGTTTACCTTTTACTCATATAAGCTTCTTTGATGTACATGACAATCCATCAGGCAATGGGTGCTTTAGAAGCTAGAAATCCCTTCTTTGAAGCTCCAAGTGAAATAAATCAGCTGTCAAGCTTCATGAACTCTGTTTTTTTCCTAAATAGTTTTAAATGCCTGGTTAATGTCCAAACAATAAAATGTCTTTTCTGCACTACATTTAGGTTACAAGTAAAATGAAAGTTGCCTTTGTCCTGGTCACCTCATTTTAAATGCAAAACCTTCTGTCTTTAAAAAAAAAGTTCCTGATCAAATCTAAAACATATAACTGAGATACTGTAGATTTAGTTTAAATGCATAAAATATGTACAAGTCAACTTTAACAGCCAAGAAATAATATGAAGAATGCCAAAGAGTGCATACACGTCATTAATTTTTTTGTCTCTTTCCAAACTCGATACACCTGAAGAACGGATGCAATTTTGCATTTGAGAAGCAGTTTGATGGTTTCACTTCACTATTTTTACATGTTAGTAAAATTAAACCTCCCCTCCCAGTCTCGTGTCAAAGGTTCATGGAAGACAGTGACCAAATACCAGCAATCCTGGATGACAGTCTCCTGACTAATCTGAATGCTGTAGTGAGGATGAGTCAAACCTCACCAGTGACAGCAACCAGCTCAGACCAATGATTAGCAACTCAGTCAGCAAAATGGAAATACTGAAGGGAGAGGAGACTTGAAAATAGGTTAGAATAAAAGATATACACTTGGCAAAGCTTAAGGATGAGTTTCCTCTCTGTGTTACACAGATCTTTGTTTAAAAACATGAACATGTCCTACGTTCCCTCTTGTACTGCCAAATTATTTATTTTAAGAAGCAACTACTTTTTAACAACCATCTTCCTCTCAGATGTTTTGGGAAAGACACAGGGGCCACATGGTACGTTAAAACTCCCAAAGCCGCATTTAGCTATTCCGAAAATGGATTATAATCCCAGTTGCTCACCAGCAGGAACTGGAGCCCTCCAGCCACTGTCCAAAAGCATCGCTGCAACCACAGCAATGCCTTGGAGTAAAGAGTGGCTGAAGTTCCGAATCCTGGCAACGCTTCCAGGATGAGCCTGCTTATTTTGATGATACCGCAGAGGCTCCCATTGGAGGCAATCTGAGCTGTTCAGTTTCACGAACACAGAAGTTCTGGGTGTGCGGAGAGGCTGAACATTAAGCAGCTAGTAAATTTTACTGGCAAAAGTTCCAACTATATACTTCGGAATGCACAAGTTACAAAGAACATATTCCTGGATTTAGACCTTTAAGTACTTCCTGTATCTTAGTGGGCACTTAAGGGTTTTTTGCAGACCTGTGCTTTTTAGTAGGAAACTTCTGTCCTTTTAATATCCCAAGAAAACTGGCTGCAAATTAAAAATAGCAGCAGAATTCATACTTGACTCAGTACTGCTGCATACTTTCCTCTCCAATGAACCAAGCTATGTCATGAAGACATAGTTATTTGACATGCATTTCTGAAGTCTTGAATGATTTCTACTTACTATATTTTTTCTATTTTTGTTACATGCTCCATTAACAAAAACACAAAACTGAACTGCCCTACTATATGTAGGATATCATATTAAATACACAAGAAACAACATAAAATGTTACTCTAACCAGAGCAAAAAATGTACTTACCAATATTAATTTCGTCATCAGTTTCAGCATCTCCAATACACTCAAACTGGAAATCTTGTAAAGACTGTGAAAACTTTTGCACTGCCATGGATAAATCTAAAATGCAAGAAAAAGGGGGGGAAAAAAAATCATAATCATTCCACTACACCTTCACTGGAGCAAGGTTTCATACACTTCTGCATGAAACATTTGTTATGTTTACGAAGCTTCCTTTCTACTATGTTTTTTTGGACAGCAACTTTGTTTAAAAATCCCCATCACCATTTCAAAAAATCAAAGTACCTGATACATTCAAGAAACCTATGAAACTTGTCGATGCCAGATTTCAAATACTAATACTGATATTACGCTGACAACTGATGAACTGTTATACTTCTTGAAAAATAAGAAATTAGTACAAAAAATGAATGTCTAGTACTAAATTGCATAAGTTTAATTGCACTGTTTAAAACACTGCAAAATCAGTTTTCAGATTAAAATAAAGCTCATGAGTTTCTTTTACAAGCATTATCAAAAGAATTACATTCTAACTCTTCTAATAGACTAAAACATTACACACCTATGTAAAAGCTCTATAAAAAGAAATTAAAGGAAAAAAAAACCAAACATAAATGCTTGCCAATCAACTAGGTTGTCCATGGATTATAAGCAGTATTTTCACTGAATTACACAGAGTGATCTTTTGGACCAAAGAAACGTCAAAGCAATCCAAACTTCACAGCATAAAATGTTATTAGAATTGTACCTACTCCAACAACTCTGTCAAGATTTAGACAAGTCCAGAAAACCAGCAATAATTCTCTGTGTCCTACAGACACAGGTATAGATACCATCTGCGGTACCTATTTTGAAGCTCAGAAAATCAGCAATTAAAATTCTGATATGTGCTAGTTCTAATGAAAAGTCATGGTAAATTTAAGTTATGAACAAAAGCTAAGTCATAAATTCTATTTCAGAAGTATCATGTATCTCTCTTTGGTATCAGGCAGCCCTTCCTCACGGAAAGGGTGCTCAGGCACTGGGATGCACTGCCCAGGGAAGTGGTGGAGTCACCGTCCCTGGAGGTGTTTAAGGAGAGGCTGGATGTGGCACTTAGTGCCATGGTCTGGCCGATGTGATGGTGCTGGGTCATGGGCTGCATTTGATAGGTCTTTTCCAGCCTCAGTAATTCCGTGATTCTGTGTTTCCATCTTTGGAGATGTTCAGATGCCATCTGGGGCACGGTCTTGGGCTCTAGGTGGCCCTGCATGAGCACAGGAGTTGGACCAGATGACCTCCAAAGCTCCCTTTCCCATCTCAGCCCCTTTGTGATTCTTTGATTTTCTTAACCCTCTGTTACTATAAAATCATATATACTCATTTGCTCAATTCTGAACACAAAATTAGAAGGCTAACATTTTTCCTGGCAGCAATAAAGCCCAGCATATAAATACTCAAATTGACCTAATGTCCTCAATCAAGACACATACACACAAAAAAAGTGTCATTTAAATCTGAACAATCTCCAAGAGTGAGAACTATTCCACTGTCCTACATAAAATAAGGGTTGAAAATCTTTCAAATGCCTCCAATTAAGACGATTGTTGGGGTTTTTTTTCAAATTAAAGGTAATCACTACCAAGCAACAGAATCTCTACCAGGATTTTGTCCTACCTCTGTATTTACTCAGTGCTTGCTGCTTTCATATTTTTAACATGCAGCTATAAAGTACATCAGTCCAACAAGAGAACCAGAAGTCTTTAGAGAATACATGCAGAAAAATATTTTTTCCTTTTGTTAGTAAGGGATGCCATATTTTTATGTGATAAATAACTAGAGCATGAAGAATTGAGTAAACAAATTCTCTATCTTTTTGATAAAAAGCATGGAAAAGAGGAAGGAATGGTCCCCAGAATTATTGTATTTATATAGATGAAAACAAAATAGATCTTTACGAGCTGAAGCACCCCATTGTTTTGCAAATATAGCATCTTTGACATCTAAGTAATTGATTGTTCTACAGCTGTTGGAGAAACCTAAACTTGAATTTGTTCACAGTAGGATGCTTTGAGTTTCAGGGCAAGACAGACAGTTTTACTGTAGGCTCTTCCACCAAGTTACTACACTGAGCCCTAAGCTCTTCTAGAAAATCACTGCATACGAACGATGCCAAAAGGAATAATATGGCCTTAAGATGGTTGAGTGAAAAAGATTCTATATTGCAAGTACACCAAAATGTAAAAATCAACTATCAC